CGAGCTGTAATGGCGTAGCTCTATTCTGGAAAAGGGGGTGGGGAGCAGCAGCTCATTTGCATTTAAAGAGACCGGCATGAAAAACAGCGTGTTTCTGCTTCCACTGAAAATAGGCATTTTCAAAATGATATAATAAATTATCTGTGGAGTATTTTGAGCTGAAACTTCACAGACACATTCTGGGGACACCAGAGACTTATATTACATATTGTAAAAAGGGGCATAATATGTCTCCTTTAATGAATCGGACAGCCTATCTGCTAATCTTCAACATGTTTTACACTAAACAATACTTTTGGATTGAACTATTTTTAGAGTTTACCTCGAAAAAAAATGCTGTTTTATTAGAGAAGTCACTGACTTTTTGCGACAGGTAGGATTCAGCTTACGGGACATCTCATTCATTCCTATGGTATCCGTAAACGGCGATTGATGCCTTGACCAAATACCCACACTTTGCACTTGATCACTTGACTACTAATATGACGTATTTCCTGTATTTGGCCCAAGTGTTTAAGTGAGCATGAAGACCACAAGTGTTTCAACTTTTCCTTTCCTTGATAGGACACACTTATAGGCCCGGTTTCACAGACAAGGCTTAGACTAAGCCAGGATTAGGCCATAGTTCAATTAGGACATTTAGGTAATTTTTATAAACGTGCTTAGAAAAAAACATTACTTATGTGCTTTTTGAGACAAAACAAAGGCACTGATATATTTTAAGATCAGTCAGTGCAAGTTTTTCAGTTGAAACAGCTCAGACTTACATTTTAGTCTAGGACTAGGCTTAAGCCTTTTCTGTGAAACCGGGGGCTAGTGTTGTAAAAATGCAAGTGTTTACAGAGATTTATTTTTATTTTAGATACTTTGCATTGTAAAATCAACTTCTAAATATCTGTTCAGTAGTCCCTATAAATAACATAGTACAATTGACACAATGGAATTTGGTGCTTTTAATTAAGTGATAAAAAGTAGTTGCAAATGTTGTACAAAATATCACCACTACTCATAATTTGGAGTTGCACGTTTTACTGGTGCAAAGATATGTAATATCTAATTATCATATTACTATTTAACTTGCACTGGAAAGGTTTCTGTGACCTCTCGCGAGATCTCGGCAAAAAGTCTCACGATTTATTTCCAGAACATGATGCTTGATGCGGAGTGGTATTCGAGATAATGTGCATTAAGGGCACTGCGCTTTGGCGTTTTTAAGACCTGGGACAGTCTTGCGCACTTACTTCTTGTCGCACGTAAAGTTTTATATCACACAAGCAACATGCAAACTTTGTGCAAGAGTTACGTCTTAATCTCAATCAATCCACCAGAAATTGAAAGTAAAAACTGACAAAGCTTTTGGCATCTGATGCTGCATTAACAGCGCCAGGGCTGTCCTTTGGGCGGTGCAACTTTTATTATCTTTTATTTTATTATTATAGCATAAACTTTTATTATCCTCACAGCTCACAGTTATGCGGTGATGCGCTATGAAATTATTGTGGGGCGAATTAATTGTAATATTCATTTAATAATAAAAGTAACCTAACAATCATAAGAATGTAACAGGCCTACATTAATTGAAAAGGCCAGATACTCTTAATATCGCCAATATTTTATGCTTATGACAATATCTCTGGCTATCGCTGATACATGATCATCGTCTTTCGACGCCTACTTCATCCATCGTCTTTCAGAGTATCACTTCATCCAGTCAGAAGATCTCAAACTTGTTAGAAGAACAAGAACAAGACCATATAGTATGTGATGCTTGATGACTGAACAGTGCATTTAAGCATTTGTCAGTTTTAGATGTTAAATGACTTCAAACAAACTCTATTTTAGTAGATATGACTTTATACAACGGTTAGATTTGGTCTGCGAATCAGATTGAAATTCTGATTGAAGAGAATGGAAAAAAACATATTTTTTAGGCAGCCCGTATCAAGAGGAGTATCAGGGAAAAGGAGACACAAATATACAATATAGAAGGGCTGTACAGCTCTGGTTGTTGAGGGCCACTGTCCTGTGGGATTTGATTGTAACACTAATCAGAGCTAAACTCTGCAGGACATGGCCCTCCAGGAATAGAATTGAATAGCCCTTCAATAATGTATTGCATTTTGTCACATTGTATGGGCATGATTAGGAAAGGCACGCGTAAAATAAATGTATAATCACATTTGATTTTTGATTGAAGTGTGCTCCATGTGCATCAAATATAGCATTTTGAAATTGTCGTTTTCAGTTAGCAACCTACAATTTTGACAGACCACATTTTGGTGCATCTCTAATTTCACATAATATGACCCCTGCTTGAAATGTTGAGGCAAAAGGGAGATTTCAAATAACAAAGCATAAGCATTCTGTTGTCTGTGGTCCATAATTCTCCCTGTGCATGATTATTATTAATATTATGTGAGTTATGATGTTTACATGATTTGTATGATTTTTGCAGTGCTGCGAGACTAGTGGATGATCTGTCTCAGACCGTTGCATCTCTAAGATGCGTTTTGTTGAATGCCAGCAAACCGTTTGATCCGTCAGATGAAGAAGCTAAGACTAAGCCAGAGAACCGAGACCAGAGCCATAGTCAGTCTGAGGAAGATGCTGGCAGACACACGCAGAGAGAGTGTGTGATGTCTCTGGATATCTCTGAGTATGAGCTGCAGATGCTGGAGCAGCAGGCCAGACATGAGCAGCTGGAGGAAGAGTGCATCTTGGCTTTCCAGGTGACTGCTGCATTCAGCTGCTCCGTGCTTTATCAGTGTGATTACTGATGTTTCATGATTGTTATGGTTTCCTCAGACTCAGCAGGCATCAGCCCACAAGGACTCTAATGACATGGAGAGTGATGAAGATTTTGATGATGAAATGATGAAGGTAAAGGGCAGGTCACGTTATGTTTTCAGGTGATAGCTGCAGAGTGATCGTTGAACATTAAGTCACGCTTGTGTCTTTGAGGCTGTTATTAAATTGAGCTTGTCAAGCTCCAAAATGACCATAAATAGCCAAGGAAAGTCCAAAAAACTCATCTTGAAACACTTGAGAATGAGATAAATGATGGCACTTTTTTTCTGAAAACTCAAGATTTACTCAAATAGTTTGATGCCTAATTGTTTCTCTTCTGTTGTTTGTCAGTGTGCTGCTGACATAGAAAGATTAAATGATAAACATGGTCATGAGAAACAGGAGCTTGTCCCACAGTCTGGTGCTGAAGATGATGATGAGGATGTTGAGGAAGATGAGGAAGAGGGGTTTGGTAAATTTACTGTCTTTGATCTTTGAACATAAATAGCCTTCCCAGATTCATATACAGTTATATATTTTATTGTCATGTAATCTTTGACTAAAGTCGTGTCCAGTGTTGGGGAAAGTTACTTTTAAAAGTAATGCATTACAATATTGCGTTACTTCCTAAAAAAGTAACTAATTACGTTACTTAGTTACTTTTTATTGAAAGTAATGCGTTACGTTACTTTTGCGTTACTTTTTAAAATCTGGGCTGGGCTTGCTTGTTTTCTTTTAATATAAAAAGTTCTATTTTTGGCAAATATAAAAGCCCTTTCACACCAAAAGCCTCAGGATGAAGGAAATGTAAATTCACGTCTGTACAGTAGAACACAGAACAAGAGAGTTCAACACTCTTCAGCAATAAAAAAAAAGAAGAAATGTTAGTTTATCTTGTGTAATGTTTGCTTATTAGTATGGTTGAATTGGATCACCGAAGGTCAGCAGCAAATTGGTTAATAAAATGGGATTAAATACATAAAGGATATTTGTATTATTTAACCTATTTAATTATTGCAGGCAGCTTTGAGTCATATTCTGAGTTGCTTTTAACTGTTTTTATTAATTTTGAGGAAAACTAAATCAGTTTTTTTTTTTTTGTGAGTGAGATGAATTAATGCATGTTCACATTTATTCTAGAACTAAAGTAACATCTTACTCCCGATTTCTCTCAACATGGGGACAGTTACTAGTTACTTGAAAAAAAGTAATCTGATTACGTAACTCGCGTTACTTGTAATGCGTTACCCCCAACACTGGTCGTGTCTTGTTCAGTTTGAATATTCTTCACATTATATATTTATGAACAAGACGAGTCTTCTGCAGTATATAAACTCACTGTAATATGAAAGCTGCCCAGGACAACGGAGCTATATTTCATAGCGCTGTCTTTGCAGCTCTGTCCAGAGCAGATTTCATATCACAGTGAGTCTTAACATTATTGAGGAATATTTTAAGGAAAGTTTTGCCACTTTCAGTTTTATACAAGCATTAATACAGCTGTAAAAGAAAAATCTAGAATAAATACAATAAATTAAGCTTTGGATTTCTATTTAAATGTAAATGATAAATGATATTCTCAATAACGCATTATCTATGTTTACATGCAACCAAATAATCTGTCACATCCAATCTAATCGATTTGATGGCTCAATCGGACTGAAAAGCCTTAGTTGATCTGATTGAGCTCGATCTAATTCAAATTTCGATCAGATTGGAAGAGGTGGTGTAGACCTTTTCTAATCCGATCGAGAGGACATGCAAACATCTAAAAACTGAAACTGGAAAGTACTGCGCATGATGTGCAGTGGTGTAGAAATGGCGTAATGACGTATGACACGTGTGCAACGAGCTGTTGTTTTTGCACAATCAAGTGTCATAAATGACTGTTATTTTAAAGTTCTCCTTCCACCCTTTGTCTGTGAAATGGAGCAGAACAACGTCCCATCAGTCCTCACTTTATACTCTCATCCGCAGATGGCTTGTTTTGGCCACAGGATTTACTGCTTGAGAAATAAAAGCAGCTGGCACAAAGCTTCACATGCTCGTCGAAATACATAAATATTAAGTCTGCTCTTAACAAAGAAATGATTTCATTCTTATTGAAACAAAAGGAGTCCATTTAAACATAGCTAATGTCAGGTTTCTTTTTTTTTACGTATAATTTCAGGTCACTTTGAATTACTATGGATATTATCAGTATGTAAACTATGTCTTGTTTAATATTCGTTAGCAGCGGTTTTGAATTTCAACAAACTTGTTTGTTTCTGTTAAGATTCAAGCATCCCACAACCTGTTCCTGAACAAATTAAACATCTAAAAATGTTCTTTGGACATCACAGCTTTAAACCGTAAGTTTTGAAGTAGTATTGGTGTGTCTTTTACTATGTTATTGTTTATGATTGTAAATAAGCGTATATGGAGTTTGTTTTTCATGTGATCTGTCATACGATGCTCATGGTTTTTCAGGGTTCAGTGGAAAGTGATTCACTCTGTTCTCACGGAGAGGAGAGATAATCTTGTTGTCATGGCAACTGGTATAACTTTTTCTTGATCTTTGAAGTTATGAGATATTTACTAAATGCTCTTTAGTCGTAATAGTAATTTTCTGTCCAGCTCTAACCTGATAAATGTGATTATGAGGCATGGAGATATTAAGAAAACTGCTATACAAATGAATTTGACTTGACTTAGTTTGTGTTCAAAAGTCAGCTCTCATGAATGGCTGTGTTGGCAGGTTATGGGAAGAGTTTGTGTTTCCAGTTTCCTCCAGTGTACTGCCAGAACGTCAGTGTGGTCATCTCTCCTCTCATCGCTCTCATGGAGGACCAGGTGCTTCACCTACAGTACGTCACAGTGCTTTAACTTCATGTCACATCATTTTTAACTATATCATATCACGGGTTTTCTCCGGAAAGTCACGATGCACAATTTTATCATGATTCTTTGTCATGTTGGTTTTCACTATTTTGCAAGTTGTCTGAGCAGTACAGACAAACTAATTTCCCTATTTAAAAAACAAAGCCTTACAAGGTAACAAAATATTTAAAAAAATAAAAAATGGCAGATATTTAGGCCAAAGCGGGCGAAGAGGAAAATCTTTGTCATTATTTTATCTTTGTTATTTAAATATAAAAACAACGATACACATTACAAAAACACATAATATACAAATAAAACAAACTGCTTTATTTTTTCTGGTACAGTAGGTGTATTTAGCAGTAGCATTCAAGAAATTGAATGAACAAATATAAAAATAAAACACTATATACACTTCACTGTAAAAAAATAATAAATTGATTATATTAAAGCTCTTCAGTCAAGAGCAGTGAGTGATTTTTCTCTTTGTGTTGTAATAACATTAAAGGAATAGTACGCCCAAAAATGAAACTTCTGTCATCATTTACTCACTCTCAAGTTGTTTAAACCTGAATGAGTATCTTTCTTCTGTTGAACAAAAGAAGATATTTTGAAGAATGTGGGTAACAAACAGTTGCTGGTCCCCAAAGACTTTCATAGTGCAGTGTCCCTTGAGTGTTAAGGTCATTGCACACTGAGACCGAAATTTTCGTGTGCGTTTTTTCATTTTTTTCATATTCGTCATCCTTTCCTGTCAAAATGCTTGCTACGGATGCGAAAATGCAGAAAATCGATCTGATCTGAATTTTTTTATGACGGATGAAAGTTTCGGAGGCAGTGTGTAAAAATGTGATTAACACAACGTGAGGTCGTATTTATTTTTTAACGTGCGAAAATTTCGGACTGTGCAAAGACCTTAACTCTACTGCTGAGTTAACATTTGATGTGAATGTTGTACAGTACATTGAGACGGAGGTGTCAAAACTGCAACTGCAACTTAAACGTTGAAATGTAACTAAGATCTGGATGCAGGCTGATGTAGTGGCATGGTCAGCCTGAAACTGAGTGGTCTACATAATACAACATTTAACATGCATTTCAAAAAGAAGATATCGCATGGCAGAACATTGTGTGATTGTAAATGAGATGCATAATGAGACCTCCACTGATTTATCTTTCATTCATCTTTGTGTTTGTGTTGCAGAATGTCAAACATTCCTGCTTGTTTTCTTGGATCTGCTCAGACTAAGAACCTGTATGAGGAAGTGAAGAGGTGAGAGGCTAGTTGGCATGAAATACTTTTGGGAGCTTGACGTGTCCTGTGTAGGGATGCTCATATTGACCGTTTAACCGTTAACCGAAAGTAAGAATTTTAACAGATTAATACTAACAGTTAAACTGTTTAAAAGGTTTTTTTTTTTTGGTATGTTTTTTTGACAAATATTTTTAAGTTTGCTCCATGCTGCATGGTAAAAGAAAAAATAATGCTATACATACAGTATTTGACATGCAGCGTGCATACAGACATATTTCGCTGAGCAAGCACCTGCTTCACCTTCACTCAGTTAACTGATAGTATACCCAACACAATAGCAAGTGGCAATATTGTATAAATGGTTATCAGAGAGTGAATCTGCGAGTGAATGTATGTAAATTCTGAATGGATTATAGCCTATAGTGCGCAATGGGCGCTCTTCTTATAATCACTGAAAATCTGTCACTCATACTGTAGATCGCGATCTCACAAAGTTAATTAAAAAATAATCAAAGCTTTACACTGCACAATTAATCTCTTATTTACATCATGTCTACACTTTCTTTGTTTTAATGAGAGAATAAAAAAAAAGAAATTATAAAAAAGTTATAAAAGTTTAAATTTACAATAAAGATAATGTAGTATACTATTTGTATTTTATTTTATATAAAATAAATATTTTATAAAATATGTTGCACTAAAATGGCTAAGAAATCAAAGCCATATGCCTAACCAAGTTATGTTCCAAATTTGAAGTTGATATCACAAAAATTGTGGTTCCTGTGAGGTTTTGTTTGGGCACTATACCAAAAATAACCATTGGGTTACACACAAACTATATTGAATTTTTTTGAAGCAGTTTTCTGTCACAAATCCATCATTTTCTGTCACAATATCACTTCTATTACAAAACAGTCACCAAATATGGAATCTTGACTGTCAGACCTTTCCAACGATTTGTGTTTTGTCAAGATTACAAAAAGATTTGATTTTCTCTATATATATGTTTTATATATATATATATGAGTCTGTATATATATATATATATATATTATATCTTGATTTATACCCCAAAAAGGGCAACGTATCCCCTGAGATACAAACATTTAGAGACGGATTACAAAAAATATAAGCATTTAATTCATAAAATTTCAATGTAAACCTAATAAGCTAATGCTGAACAACAGCTTTTTAAACATGTTAGTCCCCTCCAACGTGTGTAAATATGTGAACTAGATCAACTTTTATCGGAGGGTGAGCAGATTTCCCACTACAGGCGGCCATGCAGGTTTAAATGCTGCCCGTGAGCTAAACAAAGAAACAAAAGTCACCTCATCTAAATATTCACAACAAACACCCTTTCAAGATGAAACCAAGAAATAAGACCTACACTTTCACTGCTTCTCCCCACAGCTGTTGCCCCTTTTTAGGGTTAATTGTGACATAAAAAATTCAATGCACATGACATGTCACATTTAAACTATCCAAGAGTAGTTTCATTTCAGAAGATTCAGTAGCTATGTTTCCATCCAAAGATGCAAATTTAACTTGTGCGCAAACTGGAATATCGCATAAAACTTTTGCGAATAAAGCACCGTTTCCATCAAACGAGTCAAAGAGAACAAAATCGTCGCTTCCTGATAAACTGGCACTAAATATCACTAAGAAAACTAGGAGAAGCCACTGAATATACATTTTTTTTTTTTTATATAATAAATTACTTGCGCCTCAGAGCAAGCAGACGAAACACAATAAATGCAGTCATTGCTGCATTTCAGAATGATCATAAAAACATATAGATGCTAGTCAAATCTCATAGCGCAAAGTCACATGACTTTTTCAATGCGCATGGAGGAATTTATTCGGTAAATGTGTTTCCATCGTATTTTATGCCCATTTTTTCTTACCGGATAAAAAGTTTATCCTGCTCAATTGTGTGCATACGTTTTTTATGTGCATTTTTAGAATTTATGCGCATCTTGGCGTTTCCATCCAGCGGTTTTTTAAGCGATATTCCAAAATGCACATAAAAATAGGTGGATGGAAACAGCTAGTGACGTGTGTTTAGCCACTGACATTATTTCCCCTGTTCTCTTGTCTTCAGGGGTCATTTTAGGGTGGTGTACATGACACCTGAATTCTGCTCTGGGAATATTCCTCTGCTAGCGCAGCTCGACAGGACTGTTGGTAAATCAAACCGGAAGAAGTAAAATGCCATTTGAAGTGATTTAATCCTTCATTGTAAACGAGGAACATCTTCTCTGCGTGTGTTTGTAGGTTTATCTCTGGTTGCGGTAGACGAGGCTCATTGCATCTCTCAGTGGGGTCATGATTTCAGAAGTGCGTATCGTGACCTGTGGAAACTCAAGAAAAATCTCCCTGGTGTAAGCCATATTTTCTTTTGAAATCTACTTTGTGTCATTATGAAGTTACAGACTGATATCACTGAAGGATTGATTTTGATCATTTATTCGTGTGATTCCTAACATTTGACTGTTTAATCAGGTTCCTATTTTGGCGCTCACGGCTACTGCGAGTCCGTCTATCCGCGAGGACATCGTTAAGAGCCTTCATCTGATCAATCCTCTGATCACCTGCACCTCGTTCGACCGACCAAACCTCTACCTGGATGTCAACCGCAAGTCTGGTGACGTTATCCAAGACCTCAAACAATTTCTCATAAAAAAAAAAGGGTAGGCCATGTTGATTCTTGTAGTAGGAATATTCTTTGCATTTATTAAAGTATTTTGCACGAGAAATGTTTGAAGATTACTTAATGCAGTGGTTTTTAACCAGATGACCAGGACCCATTAGCACACAGTAAGACAATAAGTTGGAAAAAAAAACAGATGTAAGCTAAAATCATATTTTTATTATAATTTATTCCCTCAACATTTGCCTTAAAATTTTGAGTACCAGGATTCTCACAATCTTGGAAAATCTGCATAGGGAATTTTGTGTGGTGTCTAGACTAAATTTTAGTAATGAATGTACCGTATTGGCCCGAATATAAGACGACCCTGATTATAAGACGACCCCCCCTTTTTCCAGATGTACCTTTTGGAAAAAGGCTTTTTAAAAACCAAATCTTGTTTTTTCTCAGTAAAACACATTTTGTCTTCAATTATTTTCATATTGCATATTTTTCCTATTTTAATTTTTGTTTTGAAAGTATGGTAAAAACTGGTAAAATGTACCAACAATCACATTTAAAAAATATACACTTTTTGATATACCATTAAAAAAAAAAACAGGTAGCCCATCTGAATTAGGACATTTAGGCTATCCATCTAATAGTAGCCTACCAAAATCTTATTAACAGTAGAAGTTAAATCTTACTGTAGTCTTCAAATCTGGGTACTGTCTTACGTTTTAAAATCACAAAGAGAGTTTGGTCCCATCAGGCTAACGTGACAGTCACGACTCATGCAGCTGTAAGGTTTTCTGCTTCTTTTGTTTTTACTCGCGATCTTTACAACACGCATTACATTACGTATTTCATGGCACACTCGTTTTATACGTATTTGGCGCCACCTATTGTTGTGGGTGTATTATTGACATGTCAAAGTCTAGACCCTGAATATAAGACGACTGCGCTTTTTCAGATGTATTTCCAAGAAAAAAACGTCTTATATTCGGGACAATACAGTAATATTTTCTAGTTGTGTCAAAATATTTAGAGTAGAAATTTCTAATTGTGAGTAAAAAGTATATATATAAAAAAAAAATCCCAGTAATCGCAAACAACTTGAAAAGTCATATATGTGACCCTGGACCACAAAACCAGTCACAAGGGTCAATTTCTCGAAATTGAGATTTATACATCATCTGAAAGCTTGGAACATGATCTTAGTATCTTAATGATTTTTGGCATAAAAGAAAAATGGATAATTTTGACCCATACAATGTATTGTTGGCTATTGCTACAAATATACCTGTGCTACTTATGACTGCTTTTGTGCTCCAGGGTCACATATGTACTATTGAACAATGAAGAACATTCAATCATTGAAAAGTTTGGAATTATTTGAATGAATTATTTTAATTATCTATAAATATTTTTTTATTACTATTTTAATGTATTGCCAAATTCCAGTGCCCACTCAGAAAATCTGATTTTGACCAGCAAATTACACAAAACAATTTAATCCAAAGTCTAGAATTTGCCATTGTCTTGCTCATTGTACTTATTTTGCCATTGTCTTATGTTACAGTATTTTTTTATTTTATTTTATTTTTTTTGTAAGTACACAAGTTTTGTTTTGTAGGGGTGGTTTTGAGTTTGAAGGCTCAGCCATTGTGTACTGTCCATCAAAGAAAGAGGCGGAGCGTGTGACAGCGGTGCTGTGTAAGCTGGACATCCCGTGTGGAGTTTATCACGCGGGTCTGAGCATCAAACGGAGGAGAGAAACCCAGCATCAGTTCATGAGGGATGAGATTCAGGTGAATGCCACTGAACGTCTCACGCCGGAAACAGAATTGTTTCAGTATGTAACAGTGTTGGTTCTTCATGGTTTTGTCGCAGTGTGTGGTGGCCACTGTGGCGTTTGGGATGGGCATTAATAAATCTGATATAAGGAAGGTCATCCATTACGGAGCTCCCAAAGAGATGGAGTCTTATTATCAGGAGATCGGGAGGGCCGGTAGAGACGGGATGCCCAGCGCCTGTCACGTCTTATGGGTGCCCGGAGATATGGCCCTGAATAGGTGACAACTCATCCTCATTTTGTTAACTAGTTCAACTTACAAGACTTTTTTTCTGTTGTAATTCTTAAAATATATCTTCTTTGTGATTTCCCTTAGATTCATTCTCAACCAATCGAAAAGTGAGCGCTTTAGAGATTACAAAATGGACATGATGGCAAAAATGGAAAAGTATTTGAATTCAACCAAATGCAGGCGAAAGTAAGTGAATTTAACTTTCTAACCTGTCCAGAATATGTCAACTCGATCCAAAGAAAGAAATAAACTAGTGCTGTGAACAAACGATTAATCGCATCCAAAATAAAAGTTTTTGTTTACATAATATATATGTGTGTGCTGTGTATATTTATTATGTATATATAAATACACACACATACAGTATATATTTAAGGAAAGAAAGTTATGTTTTTATATTAAATATATTTCTATATAATATAAATTATATTAATATAAATATATAAATGTAAATACATGTAAATATTTTCAAAATATATGCATGCATGTGTGTGTATTTATATATACATAATAAATATACACAGCACACATATATATTATGTAAACAATTTTTTAAAATTGTATTTTATTTTTGGATGTGATTATTCACGATTAATCGTTTGACAGCACTAAAATAAACTTATTCGATGTGGCTGCTTAATAATGTCATAATAGTATAATTAATTATTAAAAAGTTTTTATTTATTTCTTTAGATTTTTGGCATGAAATGTGACAGTTTTACATATTTAGAAACACCTGCATTTGCACCAACTTTGATTAGACATGACTTTCTTCATATTGTAATATTTTTGATGATATTTTTAAACATGATGAATTGTATCCTAGGTTGATCTTGTGTCATTTTGAAGACAAGCGTCTGAGGAAAGTGACGTCTGGAATTATGGGTAGCAGTGATTGTTGTGATAACTGCAGGTCAGGGTGAGTAGGTCTGCTTTCTGTGTGTCTTCAGACTGTTCTAATAGTTCCTGAAGGATGATCTATTTGGGTGTGTTTTCAGTGTAAACAGAGAGGATCCAGAGGTGGTCCTGCAGGACTTTGGCTCGTGTGCGTATCAGCTGATGAAGGCCATCAGGGCTATGGATGAGAGGTTCGGCATCACAGCGCCCATCCTCTTCCTGCGGGGCTCAGTACGTCAAACAGAGAACCGTTTAACACCCAGTAATGTACAAAACTAAACTCTGCTTTGACTTTAGGTCATAAAGACCTGGGGCCTCATTTATAACCGTTGCGTACGCACAAAACCTGCCCTGAAAGAGGCGTACGCCACTTCCTACACTAAAGGTGGGATTTATAAAAACAAACTTGATGGGAAAATTTGCGCACCTGCACGCAAACTCTGACAAATGCGTACAGACTTTTTTTCCTGGAGAGAGAAAAGTAATGAAGTAAACAACGATTTTAAACTCTGTTTTCATTTCGATATACACATTTACATGAAATATTCACTCATTAATGGAGATAAAACTTTTGTGCCTACGTACACTTTTAGGATGAAATCTACGGAGAGTTTTATAAATGATACCCCAGAGCTTAATCACAATCATTTATCAATCCAAAAAGTCTGAGCTTAAAGTATTTCCATAAAAGGAACCAAAGGTTGAGAAAAAAAAGATGTATATTGAAAGATTTATTGATTTATCGAAGGAAATCATAAATGAAGGCTTTCATTTTTTTTTCATCATCTTTTACATGTGAGTTAGAGCTTTACAAATGCATTTCTCATCCCTCTTTAAGACCTCTCAGCGGGTTCCAGATCGCTTTCGGACGCACTCTCTCTTTGGTATCGGCAGGGAAACCTCAGAAACTTGGTGGAAAGCTCTCAGCCGAGAACTTGTTGCTGAAAAATATCTGATGGAGACCACGGGCCACAACAAATTTGCCACCCTCTGTAAACTCACACCCAAGGTACTGGCTAAAGATCAGTCATGAACTATTAAATGAAGAATGTTTCAAGTAGTGTCACTATAGAGAGAGAATGTTTTGACGTTTCTTATTTTTTCATCCATGTTTTGTACAGTTCTTATACATCCACACTTTTTTTTATACATCCATTTATACAGTTCTGTTTTGCAACATCTTATTTATGAAAAAAATAAAATTGCAATGTTTTGTTGTAAATAAATTGGTATATTTTCATTTGATTACATTTTTAACGATTGGTTAATTTTTTTATTATTATTCATTTGATTAGACCCAATTTTCAGTGATACATTTGTATTCAATCATAAAACGCAGAATCCAGAAAAAAATGCAAATACAGAATTAAGGAAAAAATAAAATGGATTTCACCGGGCCCTTAACTGAAACTTGTGGAGTTTAATTGTGAACAAACCAATTCTTTACATTCATTCTCAAGGCCTAAGAAACATGTGGAAAGCGACAGAAACGTTTTCTTATTAGAGTAGTGTTTTTATTGCATTTAGAATTTTCCTTTTCATCAATAGAGTTTGCTGGCTTTTTTTGAATATTGTAAGAAAAAGGGATGTGGACGTTGAAGATCTTGATGAAGATGTTTATTTCAGCATAGCAGTGACAAAGTACATGTAGTACCTTGGGTTCAACGGAGTCGGAATGAACCCAGAATATCCTAAACTCAAACCTTTTATACAGTTACAGTTTACTACCCTTAATGTAAATGAAGTTGCTCCTGTTGTTACAGCTGTGGTCTGTATGTTAATTAAGTTCTGACACCCCTTTGTCTGAGGTGGTTCTCGGTGTCCCACACCCGCTCCCATTCTACAATTGGTCACCATTTGCTCAGGATGTGATCATCCCAAATGGTCTAGAAACAACATAACTGTTGACTTTCTTCTTCTCTATAATAATTAAGCCATTTTGGGAAATGAGCATGATCAAACATATATTGTGGAGTGGAATCTGGGTCGGGGAAGACTATAGATTCTTACAATATGGATTTTTTTAGTCTACGCACCTGATTTTGGACTCTTTTTAAGGCGCAGTGAGTTTTGACTATTTTTGGAGTTTGGAGAGAGCATGAGACAGGGACAGTAGCATGTTACTATAAACCGTTCTAGAAGGAGCATTGGATTTATTGTCTGGATGTATTTAAAACGGCCTCATGATGGGGATATTTATGTTGTAGTATAACAAGGGGAATGTGTAGGGTTCAAGCACAGAGAGTGCTATATGGTAGTATATGGTAAAATTAATTTTTTATTAGGGCCCAAGCACAGAAGGTGCAAAGACACTTCTTATATTTGTTTGTGTTGTTCTTCTACTCTGAAGTTAAATGATTTCAGTTTCCACCATACAGATGTCACAAAATTTGTACAGTTTAATTTGTTGTAGGATTCAGTCTCTAATAAAATACAGACTTGATACATAAAATTGTACATTTTTCACAAAATTGTGAAAAACCATTTTATATTAATCATCATTGTAAATGTTTGACTCAGGGCAGATCATGGCTGAGTACAGCTGAAGATGAGCGGCACAGACGACTCCTGCTGCAGCCCAACAGAGATCTGTTCAGCAGAGTGTGTGTACCGCGGTAAGACCCTCGCATCTTACCATCAGTGCACTTTGTAGTTGAGGGCACATTGTGTCCCTGTGGCAAACCTGAGCCGCCAGTCAAATTCAATGCATGAGCCAATTTGATGTTTATGAGAGGCCGTTAACATGGACAGAATTAGTTATTTTGTGATATATTTGGAACGGAGAGCAGACTGCATTATGTATATCCCTGTCATTTTACCTTTGCCCTAAATTGTTTTTATGATCAAATGTTTTATCAATGCTGTGATAAGAGAGCTAAAACCTTCGTGGTACTGGTTTTCTATTGGGTGGGAACTGCCCTCCTGCCCTCCTGTCATGAGGTGCTTTGCCAGAAGCGTGTGTTATGTTCTTTTTCTGCTTCTGCACAGATTCCAGTGCATTCATTCTAATACTCCGCTTAAATCTAACAAACATGTAGCTGTTTTATCTTATGTGATTTTTGCATTTTGTTTGCATTTTTCCCTAATATACCTAATGCAACATTGTGAAAGTTGTCCTTTTGTGGCATTGCAGAATAGTAGGCACTGGCCATTTTCCTACCATGCAAAACACAACGGCACATAGATCTCTGAATGCATTTTTATTGTATTCCTGATATGTCCTTGCAGGAAAAAAGCAGATCCAGCACATGTTGAGTCTACTGCTTCTAACCTGAAGTCAGATTGCACTCGGGTCAGTATCATCCATTAATTAATTCAGATTTTTGTTTTCTCATTTTTCTCATCCCTTTAATGTATATTTTTACTTTTGTTTTCTGCAACCCTCTCTCGTTTCATTTCAGAGGGCAAAGGTCAGTTCTGGAGTTGACACCCATCAGATTGTGAAGAAAGCAGATTTACCATCCAGGTATGAATCATGCATAAATATTATGAACTGACTTTTTGACTGACCTTTTTTTTTTTGCTTATGGTTTGTGTATTTCATTCAGAGCTTTTCACCACTAAATGTGTCACATTTCAAAATTCCTAGGTTAGAGTTACATCTGTCTGTTTGTGTGAAAAATTACATTTAATATTTGTTTACAGATCAGCTGTTAGGCCAACCCAGATTCACACTAATGTCCGAGCCCAGACTCCAGCGGTCTCAGCTAGAGAGATCCAGCTACAGGTACTGAATCTTAAACACTCATGTTTCTTGTTTCTTAAAAGCAACTGGGTGATTTCTGAAGGACGCACAGCAGTGTATGTCTCTGGAAACAACAGTCAATATCAGTTTTTCTCACTGTTTGTCTTATTTTTACAGTCTGAGCTGTATGGTAAGCTGGTTTCTGAGCGTCAGAAGTTAGCTGGTCTCAGAGACATCCCACCAGCTCTACTGGCCACCAATAAAATACTCCTGGATATGGCAAAATCAAGGTAATGTAGGCCTTTGGATGGTGTAGAATAGTGTAGTCCTCCAAAAAGAGCATTTCCTTTAACTTTGAAGTCAGAGTTGCAAAATCCAGTCATTCCTGTAGAAATCTGTGCAGTTGAGAGTTTTGAGTGACCAGTAGAAATCTGCTTTATACATGGCTACGCTATTGACAATACACTATCGACCTTTTTGGCCACAAAATTTTACTGAAATTTCACTAATGTGACTGCACTATGGAAGAAAAATAATGACAAATGTCTTTGAAACAAAAAAGCATCATGAATTGCACTAACTGAAAAAAAGAATGCATTGTATTAACAGTGTTTGCATTTTAATGCTTTGTATTTTCAGGGCTTGCATTTTTAGGGGCTGACATTTAACATAGTTGTTTATTTAAGCTGTGAATATTTCAATTCAAAACAATTCACACACATTTTCATAATTAAGAATTCAGTAATTCATATTCACCTTCCAGAATTCACTTCCAAAATATTCAATCTATTTAAAAATACGATATATAATATTCAACTGGCAATTTTCGATCCATTTTATTTCACTTTACAAATTCGCTTCCACAAATTGTGTGGTTAAAATTGGGCATTGCACAACCGGGAGCAGCAGGAATAGCAGTAGAGCACCGATGCATGATCTCCAGCTGCTGTCAGTCGCTCACCAGCAGGCACCTTAATTATTGAAAAAGCCAGCTTTGTACTGACGCTTAATGTTAAATTTATAGTCTTTAGGTAGACATGACATTTTGTTAGTGGTCATGTTTTGAAGTTTTTAATGTTTATTTCTTTGGCAGGCCGTGCTCAATATCCAGCTTGAAACAAGTGGATGGTGTTTCAGAAGCCAAAGCTGCCATGTTAACACCTCTGATTGAAGTCATCCTCACATTCTGTCAGACACACGGATTACAGGTACTGCTAAACACTGTATATTGTACACTACATTATGTTTACCAAGGCTGCGTTATTTAAAGCATTTTACTATTTACATTTTACATTTTTAATTTGAATTAAACAGTGGTTTACTGAACAAATTGCTCTTTTTTTCAATTATAATTGAAATTTTCCTAGGGATAAAAATCAACCTCTGCTTATGCTCTATCTATATGGAGCCCTTGTACATTACTATAAGGTTACAATTAACAACAGAGCCCAAACTTTAAATTTATTAAAGGGTTAACATTTTTTTTTTTTTTTTTAATAATAATCAACACTAAACATAAAAAATTTATGCAACTGCATATAATGAATTTTTTTAATGAACTTCTGAATTATACAATTTTTATTTGTTGTTGAAATATTCATTTACACAGTGGCTGTTTTATAACAGAATTATTTAAACATACATTAAATAATTAAAACATCACTAACAGGTAAAAGTGAAAGATAATGAGTGTATAGTCCAGTGTTTGCATTCAGGCTGGTAGAGATGCCCAAACAAACAGAAGTAATGTTTTGATATTGCCACAGTGTGTTGTGTTCAACCTGCCAATGATACACTTCACCTTTAAGCACTTAGGGTTATTCTGTATTATGAATGTGTTCACAGTAGGGGTGTCCCCGACTAAGGATTTACAGTCGAATCAGAATTGTCGAATCTTGCCGATAGTCGAATCATATGTTTGGGGGCATGGGGGCAAAATACATGACCAAGAGTCAAGTAGTCAGACATTTGACAATTAAAAGATAGGATAACTTAAACAACATGATATGCAGCCGGCTAATGTTTACTATTACTTATCAGAGCTGATGAAACTGAAGATTTGCACTAAATAAAACCAAATAATCCACATGAGATGAAATCAACAGATGCAAGAAGTATTCGATGAAGCCCGTGTGCATGTTTACTCTAACTGTATAGAGATTTTCACAGAGGAAATGAACAATTACCCTCATAATTTTTCTGAATTTGAAGCATATACTGTACAGCTGCCACATAAAACTCTGTGCGATCTCCTAAATATGTGCTGCTGTGAAAACTGCTCAAAAACAGCTAGTTTTATCCAGACCCGGTTTCAGAATTAAATACTGCGGGTGCTTCAGAGAGTGTGCTCTAGCCTCAATTCACATGCATTTTCACGTATATTTTTGTCCCGTCCATTGCTCTTTCGAGTGTGAATCCCGCATAAATATGCGGATGTCATTCCCGTAACTTTGTATGTGGCCGAAAAATACAAGTTTTTTACAAATTCTAAATGGATTATATGTAGCCTAGAAAGCGCACAGAGCACTGCCTTTATATTCACTAAAAAGCTGTCCCTCGTCTTCATCACGATCTCATTAAGTTTTTGTAGGTTTTGCCAGATCAGTTACGCCAATATGATAGTGAATAGATAATATCTCGAGTTTTTAAGCGGGTGCTTAGCCATTCCCGAGCACCCACGGGATCGTGCCAATGTTCACAGCATGCAAAAATCTAATGAGAACCGGCTGAAATGTTTTGAAATCACTTGCACCCTACCTGATCGAAACAAATCCAGTCTTTCACTCTGCCTGTGTCAATTTGAGTCTTGTTAAAGATTTAAATCCCTGCCACAAGATGCTCCTGTCGGTTACGGATTATGGAAAATGAAACTTAAAATTTCAATTTGAATTTATACACTGAGCACCCCTATATAGCCAAAATGGCATGATCATAACACCTCTTTGAATATTGGACTGTGAGATTGGTAGTTGAATCAGGCTCCTCATATCAAAGCTTCGAATATTCGGGGTCACCCCTAGTTCACAGATGAAGTGTGCTGATAAACAAAATATGCAGCAAAATATATTTGAATACAGCAATTCAATACAGTACATCCGTGAATTCCTTTTATAGAAGTTACTATCTAAAAAAACAAAAAACAAAGGACATAACATTATAACATTAAACACATTTTTTTTTTTTTTTTTATCAAATTGAATGGTGTCCGCTTTCATGTTTTCTATGATATAAACAGCTCTTTCATGTCACAGCTGTTACTAGATCACCCAGAACCACATATCCATTTTATAGTGGGTCTCAGTGGCTCAGGGCTTATGGGCTGATACTGTTCAGTATGAAGTGTTATACTGTATGCTAATGAGTTGCTCTGTGAATTAGGTGGATGATTCCTCCAGCTCTACTCCACCTGTCCAAACACACTCTAGCCGTGAGTACAGTTCTGTGGGTCAGTCTCTACCGGACAGTGTCTCTGTCACACACAGACTGTTTCAGATGGAGTACAAGAGCATGGTACGACATTCACTCCTAATACTCCCTTTTAATGTGTCATCTGTCCTGTTTATCACGCTTTCTTATATGTGACCCAGGAGCACAAAAGCAGTCTTAAGTCGCTGGGGTATGTTTGTAGCAATAGCCAAAAATAAATTGTATGGATCAAAATTATTGATTTTTCTTTTATGCCAAAAATCATTAGGATATTAAGTAAAGTTCATGTTCCATGAAAATATTTTGTAAATTTCCTACCGTAAATATATCAAAACTTAATTTTTGATTAGTAATATGCATTGCTAAGAACTTCATTTGGACAACTTTAAAGATGATTTTCTCAATATTTTGATTTTTTTGCACCCTCAGATTCCAGATTTTCAAATAGTTGTATCTCGGACAAATATTGTCCTATCCTAACAAACCATACACCAATGGAGAGCTTATTTATTCAGCTTTCATGAATAAATAACTGACTGGTGACTGGTTTTGTGGTCCAGAGTCACATATGCAATTATGTAGAATTACTCCATCAATAGTTAAAAACACAGCAAAATAAAGGTGTCTGAGAATTTTTTTTTAATTACTACAGCAATGCACAACAATTAGTTGGGGTTGACAAATGTTAATTTCATGGATGTGTGTAGCATGAGACATACATTTGGTGTTTTTTGGCATTTGTTAAATAGGACGATATTAAAGAGACCGGAATCAATAGGAGAGAAGATCTTTTGGGTTGCCTAAGACATTGCTAAAAATCCCATTTTAAAATAGTTTAGCAGCATTTTTTGTGCATGCTTCAGTGCATCATCAACAACAGCAATAATAAAAATAATTTTTTTTTTTTTTTTTAAAGACTTTTTTTTTTTTTTTTAAAGACTTTTTTTTTTTTTACCAAGAATTCACCCTTTTTAATAAGACTTTGTGTGATTATTATCTTTATTACAATCTCAAGCCTGTTACACCTCTTGGTATTTTTAAATCGTGCCCCATAAAATATATTAATTGCATTTTTATGAATGTAAAATATCTGGATTGCATTTTTATTATTTGAACATGTTTTTAGTGCTTTTTAAATGAATTTTGGATAAACAAAATGAGCCTGATGTCATGAAGCCGGTATATTTTGATGGTGAAGTGGATGTTGGTGTTGTGTTGTGTAGAGACAGGTAGCAGATGCTCGCAGTCTGCCCATGGCAGCGGTGGAGTCTCATCTGTTGCAGGCTCAGAAGATGGGTTGTGCTGTGGACACAGACAGAGCTGGACTCTCAGCCTCCATCTATAACACCATCAGAAAAAGCATCGCCTCTCCTCCAGTCAGCTCAGGTTACATGCATTTCAGCAGAATACAATACAATATCTCTTATCCAAATGTGGAAAGGTTTGTTCTTCTAGAGCGCTATTTTTGGAGCTCAAGAGTTGGTGATTTTGTTCAAAAACTACTACTGAATTTATATTAATAAATGAATTATAGGTTACACTTTATTTTAAGATGTCCTTGTTACAGTGTAATTATAGAGTTAAGTACTGAGTAATATTAATTAGGGTTACTTGCATCTAATTATGCATAATTAATTGTTATTATAATAGTAAGTACATGTAACGTGTAAAAAGGACACCTTAAAATAAAGTGTTACTGAATGATACAATTAATACAGTTAATTACTGAGTATTATTAATTAACATGTACTTACTATAAGGATTAGGATTTGGTTTAGGTTTAGTTGCTTGTAATTATGCGTAATTTACTGATACTGTCTATTACTATAGTAAGTACACATAACAAGGACATACCATCACTTGTATTGTTTCTGTTTTCTTCCTGAACAGATCCGAGTGATTTTAAAGCGATCCGGTCTCGTGTGCCTGAAGATGTCAGTACCTTCCTGCTAAGGCTGGCGCTTTATGAACTCCAGAGAGAAGCTTCATCCACAGCACATCATGAGATCTCCTGGATCGAGCCGCTGGTGTGTTTCCCTACTGCCACTTTGAACTCCAGTAGAGCAGTTTATTGAAATATTCATATTTGGCTGAAATGCACCAGCAGAGGTCAGCACAGTGCTGTCGCGTGAAACACTTGCGGATTTGTTTGTAATATACTGCTAGCTGCTAACCTTACTGATTTCACTATTAATCATTTATTTATAGCTGCTGTCCATTATTTATGTGTAAAGGTTTATCATTTCTTTCCTCTTCCTCTGTGCTGAGCAGGATTTTTCATAGTGTTTGATGGCTTATGATCCGATTCATGCAAAATACTAAAGTTTACTATGACGATTTTTATCTGTGCCATTAATGACAGGAAAAGGAAATGAGTGTTATCTTAGAAATCATGTACCAAGGTTTTAACAAAATGAAAGATAGGTTAATACCTGCCATCAGTGTTTTGATTCAAGAAACATACTGTACTCAGAGAGTCTTGTAATGTGGCATGATATAATCCATCTAAAACTACTTTATAATTAGTAGATATGCAGCTCACATTGATTCAGACACTAAATTGAATATTTTAACTTTGTATTAATTAATTGTGTGCACAGAATGCTTCATGCTATTGCTGTTTGTCAGCTACCCATTGACAAGTTTCAGCCAAGTCTAATGACATTGGCTGTGTTTACACTGGCACAAAAAATCAGATATTTTTGCACACATCTGACACAGATCGGAATTTGTTGCACATGTGTAAACACAAAAATCCACACAAGATCCGATTTTTTTTTCCACATTCAATCTGAGCCACTTCCAAATGTGAATTTTAATCGGATACATATCCGATATCTGGACATCTGTCAGATTTTAAGCTGCAAAACATCAACATAAACAGCTGCTGTCCATGCTGGCAAATAATAATGTGAATTAAATAAATCATTTTAATAGCACGGCCATTCAAAACCTGAGGGCCTACTACAATGTGCATAGTAAAGAGATCACTGATGTAAACAGATATCGGATACCAGTCCTGTCAAAGTGAATGTAAACAGGGAGGACAAAAAAATCGGATATGGTCAAAGATCGGATCTGTGCACTTGACTTGCAGTGTCAATGTAGCCATTGTTGAGCTCTTTGAGTCTCTCAGTGTCCTGACACTTTAGGAGACTAAGACTTTGACGTAACATCTGTTGTGTCTTTCAGACTGATTATGGCAGACCTACTTTATTTTTTTTAGCCATCATCCTCTCCAGATGTGGGATCATCCGCTTTGTGTCCATGGCTTTGGGAGCTGTAGTATATACTCGTCTCACTGAACCCTTTACTAGATTTTGATTGCTTTACTGCTGATGTCTTATAAAAAAAACATTGTGGATGTCTTGGCCAATAACTGCTTCCATGCTTGTGTAGGTGATGTTCTGTAATGGTCATGTTAGCAGGTGCGTTCCTGAGATACCCGTGTGCAGGGATCAAATGCTAACAGATGTGTGTCATCACTGTAGGATAAATCAGCGACTGCAGACAGACCTGCTGTTAAACGTGTGATTGGAGAGTCACAGCGTGAGGCAGACACCATGGACACGAGTGAAGATGAGCTCTTCATCAGTATTCCCATGCCACAGGTGACTCATATCTGTCTGTCTCAGAATGACAATTACACAGTGAGTTTATCTGCGTATGTGCACACATTGTTTCTGAAATCAGTGCACATGCGGACAGGCTTGAGATGAAACACTGGTCTTTCGTTTAGACTAATTCTGATCTCTAGTCTACCTTCTGCACACTGAACTTGTAGTATTTACTTACAAAAATCTTCGTAAAAGTTTGAGTAATTTTTATTTAGTCAAAGCTTACTTGGCAATACTTTGATTTTACTTAATATAGCACCTAATTAAACCATGCTTTTAAAGCGTATGCAACTTAGAAACATTTAAGTAAACAATACAATAGATATCATGTAGACACCATATCTACATAATTAGTAATGCGGCACTCGTCTGAACACAGACACTTTAATACTTGGTACACAATACATGATGATGGTAACATTCTGTGGTTCATTTTTGAGTATGAATGTGTCATTTTGAGTAGAAAATAAACACCAGATGTAACAAATCCACAAGCTACTAAACATAACAAAAGCAGTGATAAAACAGTGTAAATACAGCTGGAAAACAGGAAAAAAATCTACCTTATTAATTATTCGTGCCCCAGTGCATGATGGGATCACCAGTATCAGAAAAGTTGAGTAGGTTTTACTTAATGTTATAACATCTATATTTATGCTTTAACTTCTACAAGCTTGAATTGAGAACAAATATAGAATTTACTTTTTTTATTTTATTATTGCCTGAACTAACTTTTTCATATGTGACCCTGGAGCACAAAACCAGTCTTAAGTCGCTGGGGTATATTTGAAGAGTTTGGTTCCAAAACGCTATAAATCCATTTTGATTAATTTGAGTAAAAATGTGTTTTATTATAATTTTTTTCCCCAAAATGCAATAAATCCATGACACTTTCTTTTTTTTTCAAAATGCAATAAATCCATTGAATCAATATAAAAGTTATTTTTCATATTGAAACTGTTGAAAATACACAACATAGTAAGTTGATCCACATATGACAGCCTCTGAACTTGGTCAATACTAATCTTATATACAGGCACTGGACTAAAAATACATTCAATCAGTCATCGCTCCCAAAATGAATTCAACAGGTCATCTTGTTAATGCTGCAAATTAATTACAACAATAAAAGAATTTTATCATGAACATACATGAACAACAATATCACATTAAACCACGTGGTCCAAGGTCACATATAGAAATTACATGTTTTTCTGTAGTATTTACTTCACCACAGAATAATTTTTATCAGTGCACAGAAGTTTTTTTTTGTTTTGTTTGTTTTTTTTTTGTCTGTGCCGGGATCAACATGTGAAGTCTGCGGTAATGCATGTATACTTTGATGACAAGTGCCATAAATGTTCATACGCTGTCTGTTGTTTAGTTTCTGATTGCGGCTCTAAAGTTTGATCAGTGTTGAGTGTGTGGTGTACCTCTGCCGGTGTGTACAGGATTCCTGTCTGAAGTCATGTGACCCCGTTCCTCAGAGCAGTGGAATGGATCTGACCTCCTGGAACCAGGATAAACTGGATAAAGACACGCAAGATCTCTTCAGCGATTCACCTGTGAAGGTATGATGTGTCCTTGCTGAGCCTTTAAAGAACTGGACTGATGAATAATGTACTCAAACACATAATTCAAAGAATAATACACTACTGTTCAAAGTTTGGATTCATGACACATGAAATTGATCAAAAGTGACAATGACATTTATAATGTTAGAAAAAGGTTATATTCTAAATAAGTGATATTCATCAAGAATAGTGGGGGGGGGGAAATCCTGTATTACAGTTTCCACAAAAATATTAAACCGTTTTCAACACTGATAATAATCAGTAATGCTTCTTGCAAATCAGCATATTAGAATGATTTCTGAAGATCATGTGACACTGAAGACTGGAGTAATGATGCTGAAAATACAGCTTTGATCATAGCGGTTACATTTTAACATATATTGAAATAGTTATTTTAAATTGTAATATTTCACAAAATTATTGATTTTACTGTATTTTTGATCAAATAAAGGCAGTCTTGGTGAGCAGAGGAAACAGTCTTACAGATCAAAAACTTCTGAATGGGAGTTAGCTCTGCAGATGCAATCGCTAAATGAAAACATGTGAATACATTACAACACTACAGAATCTGAGAAATGCATGATGCAATTTTCACTTTATATGCATTAATAATAGAAAATGTACCAAGATACATTTCTAATTTGTATTTGTTGACCTGTACATGTGAAACATTTTTAGAAAAGCTTTGGGGAAAAAAGTGTTCCCTGCATTGCTTTGATTTTGACAGCAGTATTGGGTACAGCAAATTATTTTATTATATGTAATAGACATTGTGCATATAACATTTTTTTTTTAATTCTTGGGAAAATGTGAATTAGTAGTAAAAATAGTAGAATTATCAGAAACGTAACACTTGATCTTTATTATTGTTCAGTACTTTCTGAACACTGTAAGTATCATTGTGACACATGGTATAACTGTTTTCGATGAATGTGACACCTTCAGACTTAAAACAGCTAATCACATGATGTTAACAAGGAGATTTTTAGGCTGTAATCTGAATCCGACCCTTGGTTCAGGTGTAACCCTGTCTGCTAGAACGATTGAACATCAGACAGCCTCCCCTGAAGTGATGAGCGCTGTGTGCTGCTTTAGCGCCAGCCAACTGTCTTTAACCTCCGCTTGACCTTTGACACGGGCTATTACCCGATACCTCCCCTTGTAAGCTCAGAGCCATTAAGGTCATAAGGTTGTGACCTGTGTCCCTGCGCTCCACGTCTGATCTCCAGGAGGTGTGACAGGATGGAGTCGTCTTTATTGTCAAGATTGTTCTTTGTTTCTAAAAACAATAGAGAAAGAGGTTAAATGAAATTATAAATATTACTAACACAATGCAATAATACTGCTTTTTATAAAGACTAATGTATTGTATAATGTTGTATTTGCAGTTCAGGTCTTTTCCAGTAAATTCCAGCCATTACTGTCTAGTGTGCATCTCTCTGACCTGTTAATGTGGAGATTAATGGTGATAGAAGCTTGTTTGAGAAGCATGTCCATCATGGCTCTTTTGTCCTGCAGTGACACAAGCCTGTAGATCAATATGAGATCATTAGGGCGTCTCTAAACACACCCTCCCTCCTGATGTTCCCTTGCCCACTCAAAATGATTTAGCATGAAGACTGAACAGATTGCAAGACAGGGAGATAAGAAGAGCTGTCTGGGAGGAAATGGAGTTTGGAGGGATGTATAAATGTCTTACGAAGAATTGTGATGGACGTTAATCCGATGGTGGGCAGTGTGGGGTTTTCCTCTGTGGATGCAGCTGTCGCGTCATGTAAACCGTCACGCTCCGGATATTCTCAGTGATGATGTGGCTATAAGCCAGCACTAGTTGGTTGTGAAGCATCACTTTGTTGAACCGTCTGCACAGTTGAAGGGCTATGCCATTTGGATGAATGCAGTAAAATTCAACATGAAATTAAAATAGTTACTTTGGCCTTTGTTTGAAAACATTATTCATCTCCGTTTTGACCTTCCGTCCACACTAAGACTGTGTTTTTGTCAAGGAAAACTGAGCTTTTTGAAAACACTCTCCAAAGTGGATAAATTTGAAAATGTGTTTTTTCGAGTTGTAGTATGGACTGTGAAAACTAGGGTTGGGGATCGAAAAATCAATTCCAATTCCAAAATCGGATACTTGTTGTAAAATTAAAATTTCAATTCCTGTGCACTTTTTTTTTTTTTTAGGGGACAAAAAGGGGGGGTTAAAAATGTATTTGTCTTTGAATCATTCATTCAAGAGATTCATTCAAAAACACTGATTCATCCAGTAATGAAACAAGTAAATCTTGAGTGAGTCCTTGAATCATTTCATTCATAAATTCCATGAGATTTTGTTTAGTTATCTAATATTTTTTCTTCAGAATTGTGAGAGAACTACAACTTGCATTATAAAAAAAAAAGTCTCAATTTATCCAGAATCGTGCAGCTCTATTTTGCACACAAACAGCTCTTAATAGAGTCCAGTTTTTATGTAGCCGGCTGATTTTTGTTCATGGTATTCAGCAGCAATTAAATTTTTTGCAAAAAGAGAGACAGAATAAATATGTTTGATATCTAAATGTTTGACTTAATTTTTTTGTAACCACATTGGAATCGAAATAAGAATCGGAATTGGAATTAATAAAATACAAACGAGACCCAACCCTAGTGAAAACGATGACGCACTTTAGTCATGTGACACATATTGTACCAATAGATATCTATGTTTATAATAGTGCTGTCAAACGATTAATCGCGATTAATTGCATCCAAAATAAAAGTTTTTGTTTACATAATATATGAGTGTGTACTGTGTATATTTATTATGTATATATAAATACAAACACATGCATGTATATATTTAAGAAAGATGTTATGTTTATATATTAAATATATTTATATATTATATAAAATATAAATGTATATACATGTAAATATTTTCAAAATATATACTGAATGTGTGTGTATTTATATATACTTAAACACAGTACACATAAATATGTTATGTAAACAAAAACTTATTTTGGATGCGATTAATTGCGATTAATCGTTTGACAGCACTAGTTTATAATGGTATTGTCCTGTTATGTGCTATTCACTTTCACACTATTGCTACAGATGTGCTACTTTGTACACTCTTCATATCACAGATGACAGAAAATGTACTCGCGATTGCTGTTTGTGGCAAAACATGAGGGCAGTTGCGTTTTAGATCAGACATACAATCGTGAGTGACCTGAATGCATCAGTGAATGGTGAGATATTTTCCTAAATAAAATGATCCTGCCAGAAGAATTGCATGAAAACATCTGTTCTGTCTGTATGGTCTCGGTGAGCTTTTCTGAGGCTTTGTGCATGCGCAGTCAAGCGAATTTAACGTTTTCTGGCGTTTCAGTGTGGATGAGAAACTTTTGGAAAACGCTAATGTGGACGGAGAGCGTTTTAAAACAAAAACTCTGTTTTGATTTTTGTTCATGGTATTCAGCAGCAATTAAATTTTTTGCAAAAAGAGAGACAGAATAAATATGTTTGATATCTAAATGTTTGACTTAATTTTTTTGTAACCACATTGGAATCGAAATAAGAATCGGAATTGGAATTAATAAAATACAAACGAGACCCAACCCTAGTGAAAACGATGACGCACTTTAGTCATGTGACACATATTGTACCAATAGATATCTATGTTTATAATAGTGCTGTCAAACGATTAATCGCATTTTAAAATGAAAATGCTCTGAATTAAATTTTGACCGGATTGAAAGAGGTGGTGTAGACCTGAAATAATCAGAGATGCATATGGTTACATAATGTTTTATGATCGTGCATATGTTTATTTGGTCACACGTACGTTTGGAGAGCAGTTCTCACTATTAACTAACTATTAACTATGACTTGTCTCAGTAAACTCCTAATTACTGCTTATTAATAGTAAGGTTAAGGGATCTAGAATATGATCATGCAGAATGAAGCATTAATATGTGCTTTATAAGTACTATAGTATAACCTGCCAGTATGCTAATAATATGCATGCTAGTAATAAGCAGTTAATAGTGAGAATTGGTCCCCAAACTACCGTTTATTTTTATCTCACATCTTATGAACTGGTCAGTGGAGGAGACTGAAAATGTGCTAAATATTTGCTAAAAAGCTCTTGCTGATATATACGTCAACTTTCTTAAAAAACGACGCCAAAATGTATTTTGAGTAAAACTAACTGCAGGCTGATTCTCTTTGTTTCCACAGATTGAAAGTCAGCCTACAAAGAGAAAACTGCCTGACTGGGCTGAAGGACCAAGCACTTCAGCACCTGCTACGACTGAGAAGAAAACCAAAAAGAAGAAAGGACTTTTCATTTGATACTTATTAGGCTGTGAGGTGTACGTTTTTATATTTTGTACAAGATTTAAAAGAATTAATTTTTGTTGATGGTCCTGAATACAGATATGACCTAATTCTACGAGAATGTCTTGTTATTTTTCTGTATTTGTTCTCCAAGCTTGAACTCCTCTAGGTATTTTTCAGATTTCTTACGGCTCACACACTAGTTAGGGAATCTTTCTTGATCTGAGCACATCATGTTTCTGCTTCCGCGAGCTGTACGCTACTGACCTCCACCTGTCGTAATGGAAACCTCCCAGAATCCCGTGCAACTCCCAGACCTCAAAAGTAGGGTCATTTCTGAAGCATGGTGGGACTTTCTTGAATCAGTTCATTCCTGAGTGTAAAAATATGAAATAATTGACCCGAGATGATATGATTTTGATAGTTCAGAATGTTTATTGCCAAGGAACAAATTCTTTAATTTGTAAAAAAAACAAACAAAAAAAACCATCTGTAGTTAATACAGTATTGATGCAATTTCAAAGTATTGATGCAAAAGTTGAATGCGATTTTTATTTGACTTGTGCTATATGTTTATATCACTTATGCTTGCTGTAACTGAAGCAGCACATTCACAGAGCAGTATTTGTGTGCCGGTCCTGTAAAAGTTCATTTACAAGGCAGGAGTAAACACAGGCTTTTATAGTCCATTCCACTTCTGTTTTCTGCCACAATGCTAAGTGAGTTTGGCTTTGGCAGGACGTTCTGTCTTCTCTTTAGTTGCTTTAGTTGTGCACAATGAAGCACAACTGACTAATTGTGAGTCTGTAGGCCTTTCTAACCAGTGTAAATCATTGTTTTGTATACAAATGTAACAATAATAATCAAATAATTAAAGGTTTGTAACTATCTGCATCTGAGTGCCGTGAGTCATGATCCAACACAGATCTGAAGGATTTAATGTACACTAACATTTCATACATACTGAACAGAAGTTCATTACGGATAAAACTACAAACTGCAAAGGCTTTCTTAGTGCTCTTGCTCTAATCTGATTCTCTAAAGTCATATTTAGTTGTGTAGTACTTTTTACATAAAATCAGGATATATATAAATTTGCACATATATATACTGAACTTTATTTATATACAGTGCTGTAAAAAAGTTTTTGCCCCCTTCCTGTTTTTTTTAATTTTTTGCATATTTCTCACACTTAAAAGATTCAGATCATCAAACAAATGTAAATTTTACACAAAGATAATGCAAGTAAATACAAAATGCAGTTTTTAAATGATGATTTCATTTATTAAGGGAAAAAGCTGTCCAAACCTGCCTGGCCCTACGTGAAAAATGAATTGCCCCCTCCTGTTAAATCATGAAAGAACTGTGATTAACCACATTATTTTAGAAAGCTGAGTTAAATTTCACTAGCCACACACACAGACCTGATTACCGCCAGACCTGTTGAATCAAGAAATCACTTAAATAGAAGCTGTCTGACAAAGAGAAGCGTGCTTAAAGAGCAACACATCATGCCACAATCTAAAGAAATTCAGGAACAGATGATAAACAAAATAGCTGACATGCATCAGTCTGGAAAGGCTTTGGGACTCCAGCGAACCTTGGTCGGAGCCATTATCCACAAATGGAGAAAACTTGGGACAGTGGTGAACCTTCCCAGGAGTGGCTGGCCTACCAAAATTACT